CCAAGGTCCATACGAGACCAGCTAGTACATAGCCACCATCAAGGGATTAAGGCAAATGAAGCTACCCCTACGGGAACGTTTAGATGTGGGCGTTGCAGTTTTTGCAAATTCATCAATCAAGGTGAATCCACAATACTCCCGAACGGCCAAATATGGTCCCCTCGGGATCATATGGACTGTCAAACTAGAGGGATTGTTTACTTGATGACCTGCCAATGTGGCGCCTTCTATGTAGGTAAGACGATTAGGCCCTTTTACAAGCGTATTCAGGACCACATATATCTAACATCAAATGGTAAGATGACGACACCAATAAGTCATCATGTGGGCCTGTACCACAATTTTGACGCAACGGTCTTATCATTTTTTGGGCTGGAATGTATAAGGGAAGACAAACGTGGAGGAGACTGGGATAAGAAAATACTTCAAAAAGAGACAGGGTGGATCTATAGGCTACGGGCCATACAGCCACCGGGGCTGAATGAAACCCTTAGCTTTAAATCCTTCCTTTAAAAATACTCCCCAAAGGAACTAATGACAGTCTATATCCCCTATGACCACCCCAAGAGCGATTCTATACCATCCAGGACGCTTACTGGGAAATACCACCAACTAAATACACAATAATATAAGTGTGGGAAATGCTTCCCCAGGCCCACTAAACGGATAGATTCATCTGCAAATATATCTTAAACACAACCACAGTGATAAAAACATACGACTCATGTGATATATAATCAATGTATTCTGGACAGATTACATCCCCATGACTGAAAAATGCCATAGAATCCATTGGATCGTACTTATTCATACATGTGGATACAATAAGGTACAGATTATGTACCCATGCATAATTATGCAATAGAAAACATACACGACTATACGATTTAAGTTTATTATCTTATATATTGTTAAATGTACTACTCTTTGAGAGTTATAGTTTTTGAGAGTTTTGTTTAGAACTACAAAAATACCTAAGGGTCGTTTTTTGAAATTGGAGTCCCTCTATGCGATGTTCCCTCGCGCATGGCCGGACGTCTCCCCCCTCTTTCCCCCCCTTTTTTTCTTTTTCTTTCTCTCCTTTCCCCATCTCCCCTCCCCCTTTCTTCCCATTCTT